TCGTTTATTTACTTTGATAGTTACACGATACTTAGAATTCATCTACGCGTTTATTTATTCTAAGGCATTAGTATCGCCTTAATAGATCGAATATTACACCTACATGCTGGATACCTTTCACGTACAAGACTCTCCTACCAAGACGACCCCCGGTACCAACACCCACACTGGCGCCCTCACTGGCGACATCTTTACGGGAAAATTTCGCAGCCTCCTGGGCGCACTTGGCTTTGCGGCCAACATGACGCGAGTTGACATTGCGTGCACTCTCAACCAGCTGGCTGCATTCTCTGCTCAGCCCTTACGCCCTCACTATGACGCTCTGCTCCGTATACTCCTATACCTCGTCGGCACCATTCATTTTGCCCTTACATATCGCCCATGCACATCCGACCAAACACTCGACACTGCCCTCTTATCCTATAGCGACTCTGACTGGGCGTCGTGCCCACTCACACGCAAATCGCAAACCGGCACCCTTATCTGTTTCAATTCGACCTCAATATATTGGAGGTATCAAATACAGAAAACAGTTTCGATAAGCTCTGGAGAGGCGGAATACATCGCCGGCTCCGAAACTACGTGATCCATCGCATGGATACGAAATATTATGCACGCATTAGGCTACAAACTAACGCTCCCTACACGACTACATATCGACAACCAGAGCGCTATCAAAATTGCTCTGGGTACAGGCACTCCGAAAGGACTTAACCACATAGCCATCAGACATCACTATAATAGGGCCTGTGTTAGGCAGGGGATGATCAAACTGGATTATATCCCCACGCACGATAACGCCGCCGACCTCCTTACGAAGAGTCTAGCTCGACCAAAACATACCACTTTCCGTGATATGTTAATGTCAGATCAAACACAACAAACTCCCTCTACGTTTCCCCGGGGGGGGGGGGGGGTTTCAGGACAAACCTAGTTTATCCTTTCTAAGTCCTAAACCTCAACCGAGTTTTTCCTGCGGCTGCCACGCGACCCCAGAGAGGGGCCATGTGCAGCACAATATGTTGTTCATTATAAATAGGGGTTTCACTTTATAATAAACAACTAGTTACTAAAAAAACATCTGATGTATAGGTCTCTATACATAGCCCATATTTACACCATATAAAATGGACCACAATTTGTTGTTTTTTATTAATAAAAAAAGTTCTACATTTTTAGCAGGTAGGAAAAAAACAATTTAAAAAAAAGTTCTGTGCACACAAGTAGGTTGAGCCGTAGTTAGGAGAAAAACTGTGATGTAATCAAGATTTACTCACGGCAAAAACCTTTTATATATTTGTTCAGATAACAAGCTGTAAAACCCTGTTACACTGTCACGTGCTACGGCTAACACTTCTGTATTTATACTATTCGTCGCCACGAACTCATCTTAGCCCATTCCTTGGTTTCTACAACCTTTACCTTCCGTGCACAACTTCATGAGAACTTCCTCCTCATTCTCACTTAGACAACTACCGTTGCCTTTTGAGTTGAAGTTCTAAATTAGGTTACAAACATCCTTATATGTCTGTGTAAACCATTCAGTAAATCAGTGAGCCTATCGCTTGTCTAGGTTCTCTTTACATAAACCTACACCTATCAGAACACTACCTGCATAATCCTAGATAAGCGTCGTGCTATTTCCAATCATTAATTTACTACATCTCTTTACTCTTTTTCCATGTCGGTAACTATCGTAGCAAATAATGTTGTTCATATTCCAAGTTTAATAGGTTCTCTTTACTCCAGAGTAAATTCTGCTCCCTGAATCCTTATTTTGTCACGCACACAACAAAATGCTTTTTACCCGAAAACCTATTTTGATAATAAAAAAAAAGTTTCGGGAGGGGACCGCTTAGGGAACCCAAAAGTATGCTCTTGTAACGTTTTTTATATAAAATTTAAATCCTTTTAGGATCCCCTGGGGACCTCTTGGGGGCCTATAAATGGGGGAAAGCGTTCCGGACAGATTTCAAGTTCAATAAAAGATATAGGGACTCTCCACTCGGTCACTCTACGGTCTACACTCTACAGTCTACATACACTAAATAAGGCAGGGACGCCGCGTGGACTGAAAGCGCATAATTATAGGAGCAATTTACTTGTTTATCTTTTGATTCGGGGCCTATTGATTAATTTGTATAGGGTCTCAAATGGGCAAAACCCATTCCAGCCGGGAAAAAAGGACGTCACCGACGATTTTTGGTCGACGGACAAAAAGTCGGTGATAAAGTCGACAGGGACTTAGAAAAGCTTACGCGTTCAGTAATAAAACGCGGCTGGGACACCTCGAGCACCGAAAGCGCATAATTATAGAGGTAACTTACTTGTTTATATTCAGACATTCTGATTTGGGCGCCTATTCATTATTTTGTATAGGGTCTCAAATGGGCAAAACCCATTCCAGCCAGAAAAAAAGGCGTCACCGACGATTTTTGGGGACAGACGAAAAATCGGTGATAAAGTCGACAGGGACTTAGAAAAGATTACGCTTTCAGTAATAAAACGCGGCTGTGAAGCCGCAGGGACTGAAAGTGTATAATCGCAGGGGAAATTTATTTGCTCATATTCAGACATTGGGCCTATTGATTATTTTGTTTTGAGTCTCAAACGGGCAAACCCCATTCCAGCCGGTAAAGATCGGACACTCGTTGTTTTGCAGAAAATTTCTCGCGTGTCCTATTTTTCGCTGGGCCTTGTGAGAGGCGGGGCTAGAACGGCGCGAGACGAACGGTGTCACTGGAGACCGGAGTCCCCAGTGACCCGCAGATTTTTATTTCTATAATATTAATATTAGTTATTGGGAGGGATGGTGTGTCTTTTCTCTGGTAGTTTGTGGACTGATGTTCTTTGTCCTATCTGAGTCCCCTTTTTATACGCGAAACTGATGTTATCTTAGTCTGTCGGATGTCAACTGGTGTCATCTTTGTCCGTCGGATGTCGGAATGTTGACACTATGTGCGAGATAGGAGGGCCTTAGGATTCGGATCCAGACACTCCAGAGCTTCCCCTATTTTTAGAGATATCAAAAATCCTACGGATT